TTGAAAGAATTAGAGTTTGGAAAGGATCATGGGAAGACAGTGGTATGACAGATGTCATATGATTTAAAAGAAGTTTATTGAGTGTTAAGAATTGGATTCAGATGAGCAATGATTGACGACTGACCAGCAGCAAAGAAAGAGATAAGCTACGTGAAGGCCAAGACTGTTTTTAATTTCCATGATTTCACATGTTTTGCTTTTGAAAATGTTCTGTCCAGATGTTGCTGGGTAGTACAAATGGTTAATGTGCCTGGCTGCTAACCAAAAGGTTAGGGGTTTGAGTCTGTTGGGCAATCCAGTTCCGTAGAGATACTGCCTCGGAAATCCAAGGAGGAGTTGCTATGAGTTACAATCAACTTGACAACAGTGTTTGGTTTTAGATCCAGAGGCTCCTAGGAAGAAAAGCCTGGCAATCCTACTTCCAGAAAAGAAAAAAAATTAGCCACTGAAAATCCTTTGCAGCATAGTTCTACTCTGTGACACATGGGGTTGCCGTGAATCAGAATGAACTTGACAGCAACTAGTGGTTATATCTTAATTTTTTTTTTTTTTGGTTATATATTTCAGAGGTCCCCAGGTGGGTCAAACAGTTTGTACTCAACCACCAACCCAAAGGTTGGCAGTTGAACCTACTCAGCAGTGCTGCAGAAGACAGGACTGGCAATCTGCTTTCATAGTGATTACAGCTAGGAAAACCGTGGAGTGGTTCCTGTAACACACGGGGTTGCCATGAGGGGGAATCCACCTGGCAGCAGTAGGCTTTTGTTTGGGTTTAGTATCTATTTCAAGCTACATTATCACGCAGATTTTGATGTTGCCACGTGTAACAACTCAAGAAAGAATCAAAATGTGTATGGGATAAATTTTGTAAGGAGAAATTGGCCTTTTGAGAGTCCAAGAGCACTACAGTGCTTTCTTTACTTGGTTCCATCCATCAGTTTGAGTGCTTTTTCAGCAATGTTTGTTCTCTTCTACACTGATCACCACTTTGCATATCTCTCTACTATATTTTTATAAGATGCAAATTTTGCTAGTTCTTGCCACTTAGGAGAGGTCTTTGGCATTTACATGTGTGCTCTTGAGAGAAGGATTTTTTTAATCTATGTAAGTTATGAAGCATTTTTAAATACAGCATTTCAATAGATTGTCTCAAGTTTTAAGGAAGATTGAGCAGAATACTGTCTTCATTTAACGGATGTTAATCTGAGGCTGCCTGTATGATTAGCAATATATTTCATTCTGGTGCAAGTTTTTCTAACAGAGAGATGTCATGTTCTTTGTTACAAGTCTTTGCAGATTCTCAGTTCTTTATGTAGACAAGTAGAAATTATTTTTCTCAACACTACCTGAAGCATTCATTCCATTACCTGAAGTTGGTTTAATCATTCTTATATATGCCAAATTCTATGTATATGTTTTTAATAAAACACTGACAGGGAAGGTGTCTAATCATGTTTGTGATTGTCTTGCTAATGTGGTCTTAAAGTAGATTTTGTTAAATTATAGAATGTTAGACATAGAAGGAGACCGTATAGGTCATTTAACATAACTTTCTTTTATACAAGAGGAATCTGAACCTTAAAAGGGTTAATCTTACCTAGGATTTGAATTCTAAGTGACAGAGCTAGGACTTGAATTTAGATAGTGCACAAATTTCAGAGCTTTCTCTGCTATACTGTCATGTCTCTTAATGAAAACCGTGATAACAAAATGTGATTTTGTGACTCTAAAGCCAAAAGTGCTTGTCGTTGTCTATTGGTAGAGGTTCCTTCCAGTAGTAGATCTTGACACGAACATACACATACATGTCTGCCATATTTTGTGAATGATAGGGCTGTGCTCTGTGTATATGCAACCCCTCTTTGGGTTTCCGAGGTGGTCTCTATGGAAATAGATTGCCTGATCTTTCTTCTTAGGAGTGGCTGGTGGGTTTGAACGGCCAGCCTTCTGGTTAGCAGTCAAATGCCTTAGGCACTACGCGCACACACACATACACACACATAAATATATTTGTGTGTGCGTATATACACTCGTAACTTCTTACCATCAAGTTGATCTGATGCACAGCAAACCTATTGGACAAAGAAAAACTGCCCCGTAGTTTCCAAGTCTGTAATCTTTACAGAAGCAGAATGCCACTTCTTTCTCCTGCAGAGAGGCTGGTAGGTTTGAACTACTGACCTTTCATTTAGCAGTTGAGTCCTTAAGCACTGAGCCACTACAGCTCCTTTGTATATGTACACACATATATAAATATATATTTATTTTAAATGACTATCTTAAAAAGATTTTTCTTTTTTTTTTTTGAGATAATTGTTTATAACTGCTTCTCCTTCAGTGCTATTGTTTTTTTGTGCCTTATCCTGATAATGATTTTCTTTTCCATTAAAAACATTTTTATGATGCTTGATAAATTGTGGGAATTAATTTCAAGGGTACCATTTTAATATAGGTAGTGTTCTGGTTGCTAGTAAGTTTTAAGTGTTTGTAAAAAATGAGAGGTGATTTTGTTCTTCGATATACTGAATAAGTCAGTCACGTACATTGTTAGCTTTATGAGAGTGATGATTGTGTTAGTCTTACTTATCCTTGTGTCACTAAACTCGAGTTGATTCTGACTCATGGCAACCCCATTGGATTTCCGAGGCGGTAAATGTTTACGGAAGTAAATTGCCTCATCTTCCTTCTGGCTCTTCCTTCAGCGTAGGAGCTCTGGTGTCATAGTGCCTAAGGCATTTGACTGCTAACCAGGAGGTTGGCAGTTCAAACCCACCATCCGCTCCGTGGAAGGAAGATGGATGGGGCAATCTACTTTCATAAAGATTTACTGCCTCCAGAACCAAATGGGGATCCCTATGAGTTGGAACTGGCTTGATGGCAGTGAGTTTGGTTTTTAGTCCTTCTGCAAAGTGGCTGGTGAGTTTGAATCTCCAGCCTTCTGTGTAGCAGTCAGATGGCTTAGACACTACACCACCAGAGCTCCTTAGTGTCACTGCTACCTCGTGTATGCCCGGCAAGTAGGTTGGTGCTCAAATAAGCCCTCAACACTCATTTGCTGAATGAGTGAATTCTATTTTTCCACATGTTCAATTGATTTTTTTGTTAGTTAATTTTTACAAGACTTTCCTTTGTCGTGCATTTATCAAGTAGATACTGCAATATACTTTTAATAAAAAATAAGTGATACATTTTAAAACATCTTTTCTGTTATTATTTTCTTTTTCTGTAATGATAAATCTGTTATTGGGATAAAGTCAGTCTGAGGCCATTGCATGCAGATGTAGTACTCCTAAAATCAAATATTTTTGCTAGTGTACTACCTAGTTTAAAATTTTGTATACTTCATTAAGAATTTTCTGTGAAAGAATGGAATATATGTTCAAAGTTTTTAACAGTGTATGTGCCAACACTACATTCAGTGGCTGTGGCAATGGTTTAATAAAGCCCTCTCCATGAAAGAAAGTGTTGTCAATAAACAGACATGTGTTTGCATGAAAATTTTAGTACATGGTAAAGTAGCATTTAAAATCTGTGTGTGTTGGGGGTGAGGGGATGAGCATCTTAGGAAATGGTGTAGGACCAATTAGCTATCTTTTTCAGTTTTTTTTTTTTATATTGTGGTACAAATATATAACAAAATAGTAGCTGTTTCAACATGTACAATTCAGTGATTTAATTGCTTTTGTTGTGTTGTGTAACCTTCAGCACTATTCATTTCCAGGTATTTCCATCACCCTTAACAGAAACTCAGTTCCCCATAGGCAATGACTGACATTGGCTATTCATTTAAAAAAATAAAATGGGTCCCTACTGATGAATTTTTAAATCATTGTTTACAATTTAAAGGAATACATATAGCCCCCTAGATATTTCAAAGAATTAGAGCTTCACCAATTTGGTTCTGGAGTGGGGGGCTGCTCATTCCTGTGGGCCAGTGGGATGGAGTCATAGCCGCTCCCCCAGAGAGAGAGGGGAGGGCTACCATGACTGCGAGGTAGAGAAACAGGGCCCGCCAGGCCAAGGGGGTGAGGTTGCCACTCAGGAACTAGGGGATTAGAGCCACCCAGTGAAGGAGATCTGTACAGATGCCACCCATTGAAGATCTGTACAGGTGCCAAGTTGACAAGGGGTGGAATTGTGGTAGTTAACTTTGTGTGTCAACCTGGCTGGGCTTGGTTGAGTGGCTGGGCAGCTGGATGTAGTGTTCCCCATGATGAGACTGGTAATCAACTCCATGGTGGAATCTACTGTGAGAAGTTGATTAGCTGCCTTAGGGATGTGATCTGCTTCCTAATATAAGGAGAAGCCTTGGGGAACAGTCTCTAGCTTATGGCACGCATGAACCCTGCATGTAGCATTGCTGCCAAGTCGGATCCGACTCATAGTGACCCCTCCTTGGGTTTCCGAGGTTGTATCACTATAGAAGTAGATTGCCCAACCTTCCTTCTGAGGTGTGGCTGGTGTGTTTGAACTACCAGCCTTCTGGTTAATAGTGAAATGCCTTAGGCACTATGCTACCAGAGCTCCTAAAGGAATATATGAAAACTATAAGCAAGCTTAGTATGAACTATAAAGAAGCTTCTTGGAAGTGAAAATAGCCAGACTTTGTCTCACCTACTCTGGTCATGTTGTCAGAAGGAACCATTCATTCCCTGGAGAAAGATACCAGGGTACTTGGTAAAGTGGAGGGTCATGGAAGAAGCAGAGGCCCTCAACAAGATGGATAAGACAGAGTGGCTGCAATGATGGGCTCAGGTATAGCAAGGATCATGAGGCTGGCACAGGACCAGATAGTCTTTCATTCTGCTGTGCATCGGGTCGCTATGAGTTGGAGACGACTCGACGGCACTTAACAACAACAACAATTGATGAATTTTTAAGTCATTGTGTACAATTTAAAGGAATACGTGAAAACTGTAAACAAGCTTAGTAGATTATACAAGTTGCTGTGTCACTTGGACCATCAATCATTATGAGGCATTCTTATCTCCATGAACTAAATGGATTCCATCCAGCAACTGCCTCACCTTTCCAGATTGTCAATGGCATTAGGTGATTCAGGTAAATGAGGTTGCTCTCCCTGAATAACCTATCCCCTGGTATTGGAGAAGGACAGATCAGGCAAATCTTAGCTTTGCTTTTGTAGTGTCTCCTGCTTAACTGCCACCATACAGACATTGCTTCAACAGTGATGACAAATAAGTCACTATCTACTAAGTCACTAAAAATAGGGCAGTGGAGTACTAGGAAAACTAGAGAACAAAACAGTTTTTCTGTTCCTGTATGTGATTGCATTCTTACCAATGTGTATTTTGGTTCTTCTGATTAGTTTTCTGTGAATTCACTAAAAGCCCTGAAATACATTGTATGGAGTCATAATTGTACACTTTTCATGATAATTAAAAATTGAACATGAATATTGTAGTTTTTGCTTGTACCACTTCTGAAAGAAAACATTTTTCTATTTGTGTTTCATAAAATAAAAGAATTTTAGCAAATAACCTATGTTGTTGTTGTTGTTATGTGTTGTCGAGTCGGACCTGACTCATAGCAACCCCTCCTTGGGTTTCCGAGGTGGTATTACTGCTGAAGTAGATTGCCCCATCTTCCTTCCAAGGAGTGACTGGTGGGTTTGAACTGCCAGCCTTCTGGTTAGCAGTCAAGTGCCTTAGGCACTGTGCTACCAGAGCTCCCAAATAACCTATATACAGCAGAATATATGGAGAGCCACAGGTTCAAGTAGGAGCTCTGGTAGCATAGTGTCTAAGGCACTTGACTGCTAACCAGAATACTGGCGGTTCAAACCCATCAGCCACTCCTCGGAAGGAAGGTTGGCCAATCTACTTCCATAGTAATACCACCTCAGAAACCCAAGGAGGGGTTGCCATGAATCGGGTCCGACTTGACGGCACATAACAACAACAACAACATAGGTTCAAGTATCATTTGTAGAAAATTTTAGGTCTGGAAGTAAATTTAGGATTGATATTTGGCTAGGAAATAAAATAATGAATTGACACAATTATGTAGAATATCAGTGAATATAGTTTTTGATCACTATAGTAATATAATTTGCTATATTCAGGTGTGTGATATATATGTTAATTTTTAATTGAGTAAAACTTGTAGCTACCGCCTCCTTATTGAACACATAGTATCCATGAAGGTCAGAATATCTCAATTTGCTGGTTCAGTGAATCTTAATTTAAGTATTATAGATAGGTATAAAATACTGAGAAACTCACATAGAAAATGATAGATAAAATTATAAATTATAATCTTATAAAAACAGAATTATTATATTTATATTCTCATGAAATATTTATAACTATTACAATATAAATATTTTATATTTATGTAAATATATTTATATGACTATTGTATATTTATGTAAATATACATTTATTTTTATAAAATATATTGTTATATAATATAAATGTTAAGAATTTGTAATAATAAACATCATAAATTCACATGTTACATTGCAGTCCCTCAGTCTGTCATTCTTCCTGCTTCTTCCCTGTGTTTCTTGTTTCCTTTTGTCCTTCTTTCTGTCCCTTCCTGCCTTCTGAGCTTTCTCCCTGGGAAGCTGCTCTTTTGATCTCATAGGGTCGATTGTTCTAACAAGTGTGAACCCTCTCTAGTGTTATTATTCACTTTATAGGGCTGTCTGTTGCTTGGCTAGAAGTTGAGCCACTGGAGTGGGTTCCGTTCCAGGGTGTCTAAGGGCCAAAGTCTCAGAGTTTTGTGATCCTCTCATACTTGGCATTGCTTTTTGAACACTGTTAAATGCTAAGTCTGTGCCTATGTTAATTGGTAATTGCTTCCTCAAAATGAAACAACATTTTTTTTTTTTTTTTTACGAGAACTGAGAACTTAAGTAAATTTGTTTAGGAAACTAAAAATATGAAATTTGAGATTTCACCATTTGAGCTATAGAAAGTATTTATTAAATTCTTTTCTGTTTTAGAAAATGGAAGTGTTGTCCAAGTTGGAGAATTGTTACCTTGCAAGATTTGTGGAAGAACATTCTTTCCAGTAGCATTAGTGAGTAGATTGATTCTGTATGTTTCTGCTGTTTGGATTTGATAGATCGTGAATGTTTCATACTTCAGGACCACTTTCATGGGAAGAATCTATGTAAATAAATTGAAGAGATTCTAGGTAGAGTTCTCTGCTCAGAATATCAGTTCTGTCTACTGTCTTTTTTCCAGATTAGTTCTTTGCCTTTAGAGTCTAATTGGTCTTTAAAACTTGTCTATTAAAATGTTAAAAGTACTTCAGGGAAATACAGTGAAGGGGATAAATGAGACAAAATTGTTAAGATATTGAGCATCCTTGAAATAGGGTAATGAGTAAATGGAATTCTTTTAAACTGTTCTCTCAGCTCTTAGGTATGCTTGAAAAATAACCACAGAAAACCTTTTTTAAATATAAAAGTTAACCTAGAATATATTATACATTGCTTGTTGTTGTTGTTGTTGTTATGTGCCGTTGAGTCGGCCCCGACTCATACATTGCTTAGCTAGTTTTAAATAGTTAAATATGTGTAATAGGCACACTTAACTGTTCTTAATTTGAAAAAAAAAAAAAAACAACTAAGGAATAATAAATAATACCTGCAGTATAAATAAGGAGCTCTGGTGGCGCTGTGGTTAAGGCATTTGGCTGCTAACCAAAAGGTCAGCGGTTCGAACTCACCAGCTACTCCGTGTGAGAAAGTTGAAGCAGTCTGCTTCCATAAAGAGTTACAGCCTTGGCAACCCTATAGGGTGTCTCTATGAGTCCAAATCAACTCAATTGGCAGTCAGTTTGGTTTGGTTTGGATATGTAATGTAAACATTTTATTTTAAAGTCAAGCTTATTAATATTTTGATGTAGGATAAAGACTGCTCCTTTGAGTATTAATCTGTTGATTAGGTATCTGCCACAGTCCATTTTGTATCTTCTTGCTAATTCCAGTTTATTTCTCTAAAGCAAAGAGAGGAAATAATGATCCGTGAACATCCTTATCACTGCAGAGTTTTTTCAAATAATGATGGCTTTTTTCGAAGCCATTAAAAATGTCTTGCCTGAATATAATTCATTGATTTTTTTCCATTAATTCATTATTTTCCAAGACATTTTCAAGTACTCAGTCAAGTTTGTACCAGGAAAAAAAAAAAAAAAAGCTTTTTTTGGACCACAATTATTTCTTTAATATTTAATTGTATGATGTAATCATTGATTAATTAACTTGTATAATCAGGCTTGGGAACAGATACCAGTGACTTTTGACATGTATGTTTCAGTTTATAAGAGCAGACATACATGAATCTACTAGAAAGTAGCCTGTAAGCACCACTGGTTTTTTTTTTTTCCTTTCTAATAGTTAAGAGATTTTATTCTAATAGCTCTCATTACATTCTTGTTTGTTGAAATGGAAACTAAAGACAAGTATTCAGAATATTTAATTACTAACTGTGTATTGAAAGCATAAGAGGTTCAATGACATAAAAAATAATCAATTCTGAGTTTTGTTTCTCCCCCCCAAGATAAAGTTTAACAGTTCTAGCTTCTTCAGTATTATTAAAATATAAAAGGAAATAGTGCATTTAGTACACATTTAGTGGAGTGACTTCATCTGTCACCATGTTTTATATAGGGTATGGAGAATATTATTTATCCAGGAAGTTAAGTGGGGGTCAGATAAGAGAACTTCCATTGTAATGTCCTTAAATGAATAAATAAATGATCAAACTAATGTATTGTCAGCTATATATAAAATACAAAACTTATAAGAATGTATAGCTTAAGGAACTACTCAGATAAATAGACTACAATGAATAGTCCAAGAAAAATCCTAGATGAAGAAAGGTAAAATGATCAAGTTCCAAAATAGGTCAAAGGATAGTTTTGGGAGGACAAAACTCTGACCATTTGTTATATTAACTTTATTTATTGTATGAATTTTAATAATTAACTACTGTTTTGTTAACTGGGAGCTCTGGTTGCATAGTGCCTAAGGCATTTGATTGCTAACCAGAAGGCTGGTGGTTTAAACCCACCAGCCACCCCTTGGAAGGAAGGTTGGGCAATCTACTTCTGTAGTGATACCTCCTCAGAAACCCAAGGAGGGGTCGTTATGAGTCGGATCTAACTCAATGGCAGTGAGTTTGGTTTTTGGACTGTGTTAACTTTAGTAATCCTAACTACTGTTATATTCGTCATAACTATAACATTCCTTTCCATTTACATCCTTTCTCTATCTAGTATCTATATCCATGCTTTCAGCAATGAAGAAGACTTTTCTTTTTCTATCAAATAGCTTTGAGTTAGGTACATTATTTTCCTTATTTTTAAAAGTGTGGAAAATTAATAACATTTTGAAAGAATATTTATCGTTTCTTTTGAGAGACATAGCATGCATTATATTTATTTAAATATTTATTTTAAAATTCTAATTTTAATTAAGGCAAGAAGTGGGTGTGAATTGTTGTTAAGCCATGAACTATGAAAAGCTTATTATTCAAATATAGACATGTACCTGCTAGGTAAACATGATTTACTACAACCCCATCCTTCCCTGCCACAATATGGCTTCTGAAGATTTTCTTCCCAGGTTCAGAGGTAAGTAGTTTGGAGAAGGAAACTGGAAACAGTGGATATCAACAGACAATAAAGGCTTTGGAGGAAATGTTCACCTGTATTTGAACTGTGGCAGATAGAGCCACAGAGGATAGTGATAGTGTGCCATAGTATTTTGGTAAAGCTAGCTCATTCTTTTGTGGAAATTAATTTTTTCAGTTATATTGAAATGTGGTCAAAGCACCCCCCCCAAAAAAAAAACTCTTAGATTGAAAAAGAAAAATGTTCTGTAGATCAGTTAGGCAGTATGACACTTATGTACACAGTAGCTTTTCTTACTTAAAAAGTACCTGGATTATAGTAGTCTTTCAGGAAGTATTTATTGAATAAATTATGTATTTCTTTTGTTAAATAAAATACTGCTGTCTTTTATTTATCTGTTTTTTTATTAAGTATTTTAAGCTGGTCTCAGATGACAATGTAAGTTAACTTCTACTTTTCCCTTCTATAGAAAAGGAAATGATACATTGCATTTTTTCATGTTAACAGAAAAAGCATGGACCTATTTGCCAGAAAACTGCCACTAAAAAACGGAAGACTTTTGATTCAAGCAGACAAAGAGCTGAAGGAACTGACATTCCAACAGTAAAACCTCTGAAGCCCAGGGTAATTACATAGCCTTATGAGCAATATGAATCTTGCTGCCGTATACAATGAAAGACAGCTTTGTATTTTGGTGCTATACTACATTTGAAGAATGAACAAAGTTGTTCCATGTCATATTTTACAACAAAATTAATAACTAAAAAATATGTGAGTGATTACATTGGTACATAACTTTGCTTGTGTATGTATACATAAACACATATGAATATGTGGGTACATATGTAGAGGTGTGGGAGCTCTGGTGGCATAGTCCCTAAGGCATTTGACTGCTAACCAGAGGCTGGTAGTTCAAACCCTCCAGCTACTCCTCGGAAGGGAGGTTGGGCAATCTACTTCTGTAGTGATACTGCCTCGGAAACCCAGAGAGTCGTTTCTATGAGTGGGATCCAACTTGACAGCTGTGAGTTTTAGATGTATAGATGTTTCTGTAGGCAAATATAGATACACGTTTGTGTGTTCTACGTATATATTTATATAAAGTAAAGCACATAGTGGATACCGTTGTGGATAGTTCTAGACATATTCAAACACTTCATTGGATTGGGTTACTGGGTTTGAAGGTTTAGGACCATCATTTTAGGGGGCAACTCAGTCAATTTGGCATAACATAGCTCACAAAAATAATGTTCTATGTGAATAGTGTCTGACGTCTTAAAAGCTTCTGAGCACCTAGATAAGATATAACTACTGGTCTGTATGCATCTGGAATGAAACAGAAAGGAGAAAACCAGACTGAAAGAAGAAACTAGGACTAACAGACTACACCTACCTTGAGAGTAAAACTGGATGGTCCCTGGCTACCACTACTAACCATTCCAACCAGGGACATAATAGATGGTCCTGGATAGGGTGGGAGAACAATGTAGACTATAAATCAAATTTCTAAAAAAAAAGTCAGACTTACTCAACTGATAGAAACTAGATCAACCCCTGAGACTATTGCCCTGGGATACCATTTAATCTTAGAACTTAACCACTTCCAGTGAAATTGCACAAAAGCCAAATGGGAGGAATTGGGGGAAGGAGGCCATGGTACTTCTTTAAGAGATAGCATATTCTTGGGAAGAAGGATCTTAGGTACTTATATCAGAAGCCTAAGGAATAAGCTTGGCCTCTGTATCTTCTAAAATATTTGGTCTTTGATTCAGCAATAAATGTGAAATCTATTCTTGAAGAATGCTGCTTCAGTACCTTGTATCAATGTCCATTTTTAATTTTCAATTATTTTTTATCTAAATTAGATATAACAATATAATGGTTAACTGGAAATGCTGTCAGAACAAGTTGTTATTGTTATGTGCCATCAAGTCATCTCCAACTGATAGTGACCTCATGTGCAGAGAATGTAACGCTGCCTGGTCCTGTGCCAGGCTCACGATCCCGACTATACCTGAGCCCACTGGTGCCAGGCTCACAATCCTGACTATACCTGAGCCCGTTGCTGCAGCCATCAGGTCAATCCATCTGGTTGAGGGCCTTCCCTTCTTTTGTTAACCCTCCACTTTACCAAGCATGACATCCTTCTCCAGACAAAGGTCCTTTCTGACATCGTGAGCAAAATAGGTGACATGAAGTCTGGCCATTGTCACTTCCAAGGAGCATTTGGGCTGCACCTCTTTCAGGACAGATTTGTTAGTTCTTTTAGCAGTTCATGGTACTTTGAGCATTCTTCACCAACACCACAACTTTGAGCCTCAACTCTTCAGTTTTCCTTGTTCTTTGGTCAGAGCAAAAGGAGAGATAATTATTTAAGTAACATTTTTTAATTGCAAAGTGTTTGTTGCTTATTATAGCCAAAGAAACTTTGTATCCTCTATTTCCCTTCTTTACTGTTCTCAAACCCAGTTTCCAATTGAATCCTTTATTTGCCCCGGGGGTGGGGGGGGGTGCAGCGAGGGGTTGGTGTAATTTTTCTGTCAATTACTGCTGAAATGCTTTCGCTTACATCCATTACTACTAATGCTATTCTTAACCAATTAGTACAATAAAATAACTTTCTACTTCAGTAAGAAATAAAAATAACTACTTGAATGTAAAAATGAAGATGCTCTGTACAGTAATAGCACACAATATAATATATCTAGGAATAAACCTTATAAGAAATGTGCAAAAGTTCTACAAAGAATACTTTAAAAAACTGCTGAACAACACCAGCTAGCACTTCTTCAGATGGAAATACATCACATTTTGATAGACAGGTTTAGATAAACTCAACATCATAGAGATTTTAATTTCTCCAAGTTATTTTGTTTTTCTTTTAACTAGATAAGTGATTCTAAAATTCATATGGAAAAATATGCAAACAAGAATAACCAGAAAAAGTTGAAAAAGAAGCAGAATAAAGTAAGGTTACCCCATCAGATACTAAAATATGTTATTAAGCTTTGGTATTTAAGAAACTAGTTCTGACATAATAATAGTCAGAACAGTGGAACAGAAAAAGGTTTAGAAATAGACCAAATACAAAGAAAATTTAGTATATGATAAAAGTACTATTTCAAATCAGTGGGGTAAAAATTCAATAGATGATGGTGCAACAGCTGCATAGCCACGTTATAAAACAAACAGTAAAACTGAATTCACTAGGATACATTTGAAATAAAAAGATTTAATATTTAACAAATGAAAACATGGAAGTACTAGGAGGAAACAGGAGAATTTCATTTTACCTTGGTGGAAGAGGGGACTGGCTAACTGTTAACTATAAATTTAGAGGCCATAGAAGATCAGTAAGTTAAACTACATTTAAGAAAGAATTCTACATATCAGAAGACCTGTAAGCAAGATCAAAAGACAAATAGAGGTGAGTAAAGACACTAATCCTATGAAGAGTTACTAGAAATAGATGCAAAAAAGACCAGTAATTGATAGAACATCTACAGAAGGCAGTGTAGCAGGAACCCTGGTGCAATTGTTAAGTGGTGGTCTGCTAGCCGACAAAGTCGACAATTGAATCCACCAGGCATTCTGTGGGAGAAAGATGGGCAATCTGCTTCCATAAAGATTTATAGCCTTAGAAACCCTTTGTGGCAGTTCTACCACTGTAGGGTTACTTTGAGTTGATGTCGACTCAACAGCAACAAGTTTGGTTTCAGATTATCACAAAATGCATATGCTCTTTTTTTATATACATAATATGTTTTCAGTGAAAGCTTACACAGCAAATTAGGTTCCCATTTGACAAATTCTGTATACATTGTTCAGTGACTAGTTATGTTTTTTTCACAATGTGTCATAATTGTCTTAAATTGTGTTCTGGTTGCACTGTTTCCAGTGCTCTAGCTTCCCTGCTCTATCTTCTTTTCTTTGCTCTAGAGTAATTGTTGATCTTTTGGTCTCATATTTAATGGAGCACTATATTCATAGGTAATGCCCTTTGTTTTGTGTGCTCATCTGTTACTTCATTAAAAGGTGAACATGGGATAGTTTCGGCTCAATGCTTAAAGAATATCTCAGGGCAAGAGTCTGAGGGAGTCCTCTAGCCTTTCTAGGTTTCTTCTCGGAGTCTTTGGTTTCCTCCCTTCTCTTTTCCTCCTGACAAGTAGCATGTATTTTTTGACTTAGCAATCCCACTTTCTACCTTTTTACCTACACATATGCAAAATGTCATGTCATATGTCTATGATTATTCATTATATTACGGCCAAAAAATTAGAATGAGTCTATAAATACACCATCAAGGTACTTGTTAAATAAAATGTGCTGCATTCATATGGCAGAAAATTATATATCTGTAAAAGAAGGCAGAAAAAGCACTCTGCTGACATGGAAAGTTCTCTAAGATATATAAACCAAAATAAAACCAAATTCACTGCTGTTGAGTCGGTACCAACTCATAGCGACCCCCTTTGGGTTTCTGAGGAGATAAATCTTATGGAAGTAGATTACCCCATCTTCCTTCCATGGAGTGACTGGTGGGTTTGAACCACCAGCATTCTAGTTAGCAGTCAAATGCCTTGGGCACTATGCCACCAGAGCTCCTTCTAAGATATATACTAAAATTCACTGCTGTCGAGTCAGATCCAACTCATAGCGACCTCTCTTTGGGTTCCCGAGGTAGTAGCACTACGGAAGTAGATTGCCCAGGCTTCCAAAGGTGTGTGTGTAGTATGCTATCTTTTGTCAAAAACAGGCAAAAAGGAAGAATATACTACTATTTCTTATTTGTATGGTAATGGAAAATACACAGTAAAACTAGTAAAATGGTTATCTTGAGGAGTTTTCTCCATATCCTTTTTTAAAAAATTTAAGTAACATCGTGTTTGCAGCAGCTTAGGTTCCTGTTCAACAATCTGTACACAAGTTGTTCAGTGACCTTGGTTACATTCTTCTAATACGTGAATATTCTCACTGTTTCCTTTCTGTTTGTTCCATTTCTGTTAATGTAGTTTCCCTGTTCCATTGCATTCTCATCTCTGTTTCAATGTAATCATTGACTGTTTGGTCTCATAGAGATTAAAGATGCACAGTACTTATGGATGATACTGTTTTATAAGTTCATTTGTTATTTAGCTAAGCGATGACTTTAGGGGCTAGTTTCAGTTCTAGGTTTGAAGAATATCTCAGAGCATTAGTTTCAGGGAGTCCTTCAGTCTCAGTCAGTCCAATGGGTCTGGTTGTTTTTTGGTTTTGGTATGTTTTTAGGATTTTGAAGTCCTCTTCCACATTTTTTTTCTCCTATTCTATCAAGGTCTACCTTTTAAAATTGTTGGACATATTCTGCTTTTTTAATTTAAATCATATTCACTCTGATTGGTTGAAAAGCAGTGATCAGATCGCTTTATTTTATCTAAGGCAATATTTCTATATATTTTTTTTTATTTCATTTAGCAGCAGGTAAACACCAATTGACTTGCCCCAGATGCTGTGCCAAGTACTTTTATACAACAGTGAACAAAATAAACATGAGCTCTGTCCTCACTTAGGAGAAATACATGAAAAATCTTATATAATATATATTCTTTGTTTTTTCCCCCTAGAGGAAGCAGGGAAAAAATTATAAAGCAATCATATTTCATCACTTTGTCCCACTCAACGAAGTGAATAGTAGCAAGCAGTGAAAGAAATCATTAGATTGAGAAAAGAATTGTCAGTATACGCACTGATTAAATTTTTTTGATTAATCAATAGTAGTTTTTGGAAGCATTTTTATAGTGTCTGCTTTTAGACATAGTATCTATCTGTGAAAAGGAATCCTGATTTCTTATGTAATACTATATTTTATGTACTTTTATTGCATTTATTTATGCATATGGGTGGAAGGTGTTAATTGAATAGTGGAAAGGGACAAAATTTGAAATTTAGGTTTTTATTAGTATTCATTGAACAGATTGGTGAAAAATGTGATGAGAAGGAGACTTCTGTTAAGTTTTATGAAATATGTATGTTACAGTCATGTGGTCCTTATGGGAGGGCTGTAGCATGTACCTGTGAATAGGATTCCATATAACTTTGACTAGGCTTATCAAAGTGGGTTTGGTGATTCAAACCCACCAGCTGCCCTGTGGGAGAAAGATGTGGCAGTCTGCTTATGTAAAGATTTACAGGCTTGGAAATGCTTTGAGGCTGGTCTCTGCCCTATAGGACTGCTATGAGTTGTAATCATTTCGACAGCAGTGGATTTATATATCCAACAACAAAGGAGATATGGGGAACTCTTTACCTAATTAACTTGACAGATAACTAAAATAACAACTGTGTGTTATGTGCTTTGTATGTTATCTTGGTTTGCAAATATAAACATTTGGTATGGTTTAGAAAGTTTAGTGTTAAAGTTCTGAATTTGGGAAGGGAATCACTTAAGGACTCCTGAGAAATGAACATTTAAAATAATTGACATTAACTGATGTTTTCTTTCAGTTCATTAAAGAAAGTATTGATTATTTATTTGTAGCCAGAACCACCAAAGAAACCATCTAATTGGAGAAGGAAACATGAAGAGTTCATTGCCACCATAAGAGCTGCTAAAGGACTGGATCAGGCACTCAAAGAGGGTGGCAAACTTCCACCACCTCCCGCGCCTTCCTATGATCCTGGTATGTAAAACGTTGGCTGGCGGACATGCTCATGGGAGAGAAAATATTGGTATAATTTTTACAGAATTTAAGTTATTTAACCTACAGTAATGGAATTGGTGAAGCATAATCTGTAAATGCTTTAGTATAAAATAATACTGATAATCTAGGCCACTAAGTTTATAAAGGCACCTCAGCATATAAAATAGAAATGTATTTGGTTTTTATTGAAAGACTTTTATTTAAACTATTTGAAGCATTAAACTGTTATTTTTAAAATTATTGTGGTGACTATTACATGTTAATATTCCCAGAGATACTTTTATCATGCTTACTGTGGATTAAAATGTAGATTCAATAGGCTTCAATTTTCTGCTGCTTTGGTATCTTCTCATCCGGGAAGGAAAAAAAAAATCCTAATCTATTTTACTTCTAAAGTATAAAATTCATGTGGTAAAAGTACCATATAGATTGATACATCTAAATTATGCCTTAAATTCAAATGTTACTATATTTTCTTCATTGAGGAATAAAAGTTGCTTGGTTCATTTTAGAATAGCAAAGCAGGATTTTTGCAATCTCATGGTATATTGAGATACTAAAAGACTTAAAATGGCATATTTTGACATTGGGTATTGGAGCAGACTAAAGAGGTCGTAATAAGTTGTTGTTATGTGCCCTTGAGTTGGACCCGACTCACAGCAACCCCTCCTCGGGTTTCCGAGGCAGTATCACTACGGAAGTAGATTGCCCCATCTTCCTTCCGAGGAGTGGCTGGTGGGTTTGAACCGCCAGCCTTCTGGTTAGCAGTCAAGTGCCTTAGGCACTACGCTACCAGAGTTAGCCAAATTAAAATTGTTGGGAATCTACATTGGGGTTGATTTTTAACAAAATGTTATTTAGAAAATCTATATATGATCAGTTTTGATGTTTTATTCCCAGTGCAGAGGTTGGCAAATTTCTGTAAAAGGCCAATGGTAAATATTTTCGGCTTTGCAGGCTGTCAAGTCTCTGTTGCAGCTACTCACCTCTGCCACTGTTGCACAAAATCAGCTGTAGACAGTATGCAAATAAATTGCCGTTAGGTGTCATACCATCTGTGTACAACAAAATGAAACAACATCCAGCCCTGTGCTAGCCTCACAATCCTTGCTATTTGTAAATAAATGGGCATTGCTATACTCTAGTAAAACTTTATTTATCAAACAGGCTAGATCTGTGGCTCTTTAGTTTGCCTATTACTGTTCTAGATTATTTATTAACTTTAATTTAATTCTATGAGTGTTTCTGGGTGGTCACTTCTAATTCTACCTTAATTTCCTACCCAGAGGTGAGTTCTCTCTCAGTTTTAGAAGCATTTGGGTATTCCATTTTACTTTCCATAGCTATATTTCTGGTGTCTACTTAGTGTCAGGGACAGAGGGCCAGTTTTTTCAGAGTGCTGTGGGTGTTAGAAAGTTTCTGATCTCGAATCTGACAAAACGACTTCTTGGGAATAGGTTCTAGACCTACTCCTCTAGTAAGCAGGACAATCTTCTGAGCTTTGGATGAGTGTAAACTGTAAGGGAGAAAACTATCATAAAGGAGACCTTATAACACTGCTTATTAATTTTTATATTTTGTGCCTATACTCACTGTCTTGTGTTTTCTGTATCTCATGTATTTAAGATCTTTTGCAATACTACAAAATTTGAATGTGAGATAATTTTGTGTTTCAATTTTAAACGATAATTATTTATAGTATACTTTGCATATCATTCCTTTTTGGGAGAATTTTTTATATTGGAGACATTTACTGTTTCTTGAATTTGAATTAATTGTGTTATTAAGGCATATTTTTATCACATCTCACATCTATTTGGACATATAAGAGAATAAGACTATTAAAGTCAATTAAACTATCTCTTGACAGTTTTCCTTTAATTGAAATAAAAGATTTTAATAGATAAACCCTTATTTTAAAATGTATCTTTAATGTAATATGTTATTTTAACCCTAAAATTCCCCTGCTTGACTAGTACTATATATACATATATATATATATATATATATATATGTATATATATATGATGAAAACATGGCTTTAGACAGGCAAAAAAGAAATTTTCCCTTTGCTTATTCATTGTATGGAGTTGCCACGTGTTGGAATTGACTTGATGCCATCTGTTTTGGTTTATCTGTTTTGTTTATTCATTCTGTTGTACTGAAGATTTATCTGTTACTTTTTTTTTTTTTTTTTAAATATTATACTTTTGTCTTTAAAAGTCTTTACTGAGTATAGACTTGGTCAGGCAGGGTGGTTATAAGGAAAAAGGAAATTTTGCTTATCAACTTTTCTTACTTACATTTTATATCTTGAATTACTGTCCATTCAGGTTTGTGATTCTTTGTCTTATTTCAAATACTGTTGTTATTAATCTGTTTCTGTTTTTATCTGGTTTTAGATTATATTCAGTGTCCATATTGTCAGAGGAGATTCAATGAAAATGCGGCTGATAGACATATAAATTTCTGTAAAGAACAGGCAGCCCGGATTAGTAATAAAGGCAAATTCTCTGCTGAAACCAAAGGAAAGCCAGCCTCTCGGGCACAGGTGAAATGCTCAGTTTTAAACATTTCTGCAAATACATGAGTAAGGCGTTCTTGGAAATTCGTAATTTTGTGTTTGTACTTTATAAGACATCTAACTATAGTTTTCTCACCTGCTAAAATTTATATATTATTTTCAGGGATTTAGTGAGAAATTGGAATGGCCAGTTGAGAAAAAATTACTCAAATTAATTAATCTGAAGTGGACTTGAGTTAACAGTGACTTGAAATTATACTGATCTAAAGAGATAGCAGGAGAAAATTAAAAAAAAAAAAAAAAAGTAAGTTCAAGTTAGGTGATTAAGATTCAGAGGAAACCAGATGGGTTAGAAGAAGGAGAAAATGGCACTAAAAATCCAAGTTTGAAAATTCATGTAAGTATTAAGTATTTCCATGTTACATATGAGTAATGTACATGGTGGGAGTGCCTGTATCATATTCTAAAGCTACTTTTGAACTTTCTGGCAAAATACCCTTTATTTCCTTGCTTACAGTATATTGTGCACATCTGTGCATTGGTTAACTACATGATCATTGTCAGAATCAAATGAAACATTATATGTCAAAGTACTTAGTAAATCATATGATATTTAAGAATTTTGTTATATCAGCTTAATTTTTATAGTACTATTGTGTTTCATTGAGCGTATTGTTACACAAAAACATTGATAATGTCAGAATTTCGGTTTTCGTAAACTCCTTATTTGTAAACAGTTTTTTTGAGTGTTGTAAATCTAGCAGAATAATACTGATTTCTGTTATTTATGAATAAAATATTAGATTAAAAACCTTTATACAATTGGAACCTCCTTGAGAGAATCCTATTACTGACCTGAAAATAGAGCATATCATTATTATCTTCGTGGAAAAAAGTGCAGGGAAGAAAACTCATTTTGAAAAATTTCCAAACAGACATCCAAGCAATGTGTTTCTTTTATTGAAATAGGTTAGAACCTGACAATCTGGGGCAGGGACCACTGTGAGCTATCGGGTTGTCATTGGCTAAATTTCAGCAGCAGATCACCAGGCCTTTCTTCTAGTCTGTCTCAGCCTGAAAGTTCTGCGGAAACCTACCCGACATTGTAGCAACACATAAGGTGCCACTGACAGACAAATAGTGGCTGCACGTGAGGGGCGGGGGCTCCAGATCAGACCTGGGCCTTCTGCATGGAGGGCAGGAATTCCATCACGGATCCACCGTCTAGCCTTAGGCACTTCGATGGCTGCAGTGTAGGGCTGGGCAGTATTTCCTTTGTTGTGCTTGGGAACAAATTCGGCAGCTAACAAGTGACAGTCCAGTATAGTGTGGTAGATAAGCTTGCAGGTGGAGGAGTCAGTGAGTCCAAACCCAAGTTCTACCATTTATGAGCTGTATAACCGTAGGCAAATTATGTAATCTCTTTATGCCCTCGTTTCCTTGTCTGTAAAATTGGAATAGAGTAAGGTTTTACCTTGTGGGGTTATAGAGATTAAATATATGTAAAGTGCTTAGAGGAGTTCTTGTCACATAATGAACACCCAATAAATGTAAGCTCTTATTAAATAGGAGCTCTGGTGGCATAGTGCCTAAGGCATTTGACTGCTGACCAGAAAGCTGGCAGTTCAAACCCACCAGCCACTCCTCAGAAGGCATATTGGGCAATCTACATCCATAGTGATAACACCTCGGAAACCCAAGGAGGTGTCTCTATGAGTCGGATGCGACTCAACGGCAGTGAGTTTGGTTCTGGTTTTTTATTAAATAAATAGATAAGAAAACTACTGCTTTATTTTTTTTTAAGGATAAAATAGTAGCGAGAAAGGAATACAGTAGATTCTGTGTGTTCCGAAAACTTGGTGCCAAGTGATTGATAAATATAAAACCAAGATAGTTGATAGTTTTCACCATAGTAGTAATGGTTCTGATTCCGAGGCCATTAAATAACTTTTAATTCAGTCTAACCCCATATTTTCTTATCTCCCCTCATGTCCATATACATTTTGAAATCAGCTTTTCAAAGTATACATACATGTGAACACAATTCCCTATTAAGTTTCTGTTTGGAGTTCCACTGACTCAGTTGATAACAAGTTGACTTCTCATTGTGAGCATATATCTCTCCCTTTCTTTAGGTCTTATTTAATATTTTTCCATAGGCTGTATAATTTGCTAAGTAAGACTTCACATATTTTGTTATATTCTTAAGTGGGTCATATTTTTATGCTATTATAAATGTTACTTTTTTATTTTTAAAAGCGTATTGGCTTATAGAAAGTTGACTTCCATATTAACTGGATTTTAGATTCGATTAACCCAATGAATTATCTTATCCTAGCAATTGATAATTGGTGAGGAAATTGAAGATTTTTAACAATTTCTGCAGTCTGAAAGTGACCAAACATGAAATCAAGATGTCCTGATTATCACTGGTAATTGGAATGCAAAAGTTGGAAACAAAAATCACCAATATTTTGAAAATTTGGCCTTGGTGGTAGAAATAGTCATGGAGATCACATGGTAGAATTTTGTAAGACCAACGACTTACTCATTGCAAATACTTTTTTTCAACAACACAAATGATGACTATACACGTGGACTGCGCCAGATGGGAGTACGCAGGAATCAGATTGACTACATCTGTGTCAGGAGGGAATGAAGAAGCTCAATGTCTTCAGGCAAAACAAAGCCAGGAGCTGATTGTGGAAACAGACCATTAACTGCTCATATGCAAGTTCAAGTTGAAGTTGAAGGCAATTAAAACAAGTTCATGAGGGCCAAAATATGACCTTGAATATATCCTTCCTGAATTTAGAGACCATCTGAAAAATAGAATTGATGCATTGAACACCAGTGACCAAAAACCAGGGGAATTGTGGGATGACATCAAGAACATCATCCATGAAGAAGCAAAAAGTCATTAAAAAGACAGCAAAGGAAGAAAAGACCAAAATGGATGTCAGAAAAGACTCTCAAACTTGCCATTGAGCAGAGAGTACTAAAGCAAATGGAAGAAATGACAAGATAAAAGGGCTGAACAGAAGATTTCAAAGAACAGCTTGAGAAGACATAGTCACTTATTATAACGAAATATGCAAAGACTTGGAGTTAGAAAACCAAAAGGGAAGAACACACTTGGCATTTCTCAAACTGAAAGAACTGAAGAAGAAATGTAAGCCTTGAGTTGCAGTATTGAAAGATCCTATGGGCAATACATTGAATGATGCAGGAAAAATCAAAAGAAGATGGAAGAAATACACAGAGTCACTGTAGCAAAAAGAATTGGTTGATGTTTATCCATTTCAGGAGGTGGCATATGATCAAGAACCAATGGTATTGAAGGAAGAAGTTGAAGCTGTCCTGAAGGAAATGGCAAAAAATAACATTCCAAGAATTGATGGAATACCCATTGAGGTGTTTCAACAAATGGATGCTGTGCAGGAGCACTCAGCTATGCAAAGAGATTTGGAAGACAGCTACCCGGCCAACTGATTGGAAGAGACCCATGTTTTGTACCCATTCCAAAGCAAGGTGATCCCAGAGAATGGGGAAATTATCAAACAATATCATTAATATCACATACAAGTAAAATCTTACTGAAGATAATTCAAAAATGGTTGCAGCAGTATATTGACAGAGAAGTTCCATAAATGCAAGCTGGATTCAGAAGAGGACATGAACAAGGGCTATCATAGCTGATATCATATGGATCTTGGCTGAAAGCAAAGAATACCAGAAAGATGTTTACTTGTGTTTTATTAACTATGCAAAGGTATTCGTTTGTGTGGATCATAACCAATTATGGATAACATTGAGAAGAATGGGAATTCCAGAACACTTAATTGTACTCATGAGGAACCTGTGCATAGACCAAGAGGCTGTCATTCGAACAGAACAATGGAACACTGCATAGTTTAAAATCAAGAAGGGAGTGTGTCAGGGTTGTATCCTTTCACTGTGCTTATTCAATCTGTCTGCTGTGCAAATAATCTGAGAAGCTGGACTATATGAATAAGAATGTGGCATCAGGCTTGGAGGAAGAATCATTAACAACCTGCAATATTCTGACGTCACAACTTTGCTTGCTGAAAGTGAGGATGAATTGAAGCACTTACTGATGAAGATTAAAGAATACCATCTGCAGTATGGATTATACTTCAATATAAAGAAAAAATCCTCACAGCTGAACCAATAAGCAGCATCACGATAAATGGAGAAAAGATTGAGGTTGTCAAAGACTTCATATTACTTGGTTCTACAATCAACACCAATGGAAGCAGCAGTCATGGTATCAGACGTATAGCACTAGTAAAATTGGTTACAAAAGACCTCTTTCCAGTGCTGAAGAGCAAAGATGTCTTCTTGAGGATTAAGGTGCACCTTAATCACAAGCCATGGTATTTTCGATTGCCTCATTTGCCTCTGAGAGGTAGACAAGGAACAAGGAAGACCAAAGAATAGTTGATGCTTTTGAGCTCTAGTGCTGGTGAAGAATGCTGAAAGTACCATGGGCCGCTAAAAGAACTAACAGATCTGTCCCAGAAGAAGTGCAGCCAGAACACTCCTTGTAAGCAAGAATGGCCAGACTTTGTCTCACCTACTTTTGGTCATGTTGTCAGAAGGGTCCATTCCCTGGAAAAGGATATCATGCTTAGTAAAGTGGAGGGTCAACAAAAGAGGGGAAGGCCCTCAATAAGATGAATTGTCACAGTGGCTACAATAATGGGCTCAGGCTCAGGTATAGCAGGGATTGTGGAACTGGACAGTACAGGATGGTGTTGCGTTCTGCGTTACGTAGGGTCAGTATGAGTCAGAGATGACTCAACGCCACCTAACAACAACACAACAGCAATTGATCTGTGGATATTTATTTCTTTGAGATCAGAAAGAGTAATGATTTTAGACTTTTGAAATATGTTAAGATCTTTATGATTTAGCATAAGTGGTTAAAATTTGCTTTTTATAATTGTTATGTACACTAACATTTAGATGTCTGTTTCATTACGTTTGCTCTTTGTGCTTTTACT